TAGCAGGCAGTAGGCAGTAGGCAGTAGGTAGTCGGCAGTGGGTCGTGGGTAGTGGGCAGCAGTCGGTAGTCGGTAGTCGGTAGTCGCTAGTAGGTAGTAGGTAGTAGGTTGGAGGTTGGAGGTAGCAACTAGCAGCTAGCAGGTAGTAGTGACAGTATTTTTCGAAACAGTAGTAGCATTGGTACGTAATGGTCGTGGTCGTGGACGACCACGGAGCAGCAGCGGCAGCAGCCGCAGGTGTTGTTGATGTCGTTGTCGTTGATGTTGTTGCTGTTGGTATTATTCTTGTTGGGGTTGGTGGCGGTGAGGTCACGGGTGGTGTTGTCGGTGCTGTCACTGTTGCTGCTGTTGTTGCGATTGTTGGTGATGTTAGTAGTGTTGGTGATGTTGGTGATGTTCGTGTTGTTGGTGTTGTCACCGTTTGCTGCAGTTGCTGGTGTTGCTGGCGGGTTGGTGTTGCTGTTGTTGCTCTTGTTGTTGTTGTTGTTGCTGTTGCTGTTGCTGTTGCTGTTGCTGTTGCCGTCGGCTGTGGCTGTGGCGGTGGGGTTGGTGTTGGTGTTGGCGTTGACGTTGGCATTGGTGTGTTGGGGTGTTGGGGTGTTGGGGTGTTGGGGTGTTGGGGTGTTGGGGTGTTGGGGTGTTGGGGTGTTGGGGTGTTGGGGTGTTGGGGTGTTGGTGGTGTTGGTGATGACGCTGTTGCTATTGCTGTTGCTGTTGCTGTTGACGTTAGCGTTGTGTTGCTGTTGCCGTTGCTGTTGCAATTGCGGTTGCTGTTGCTGTTGCAGTTGCTGCTGTGGGCTGGTGTGGGCGAGTATGGGCTGGTGGGCTGGGGCTGGTGGGCTGGGCTGGTGGGCTGGGCTGGTGGGCTGGGCTGGTGGGCTGGGCTGTTGGGCTGGGCTGGTGGGCTGGGCTGGTGGGCTGGGCTGTTGGGCTGGTGGTGTGGGCTGTTGCTGGGGCTTGCGGGCTGGGGCTGGGGCGTGGGCTGGGGCTGGGGCTGGTGGTGCTGGTCTTGGTGCTGGTGCTGGTCTTGCTGGTGATGGTGCTGGTCTTGCTGGTGCTGGTGCCGGTCTTCTTGGTGGTGCTGGTCTTGGCGTTGCTGGTCTTGGTGGTGCTGGTAGTGGTGGTGCTGGTATTGGTGGTGCTGGTGCTGGTGGTGGCGCTGGTGCTGGTATGTGCTGGTGCTGGTGCTGGTGCTGGTGCTGGTGCTGGTGCTGGCGCTGGCGCTGGCGCTGGCGCTGGCGCTGGCGCTGGCGCTGGCGCTGGCGGTGTAGAATGTGTAGTAAATGCCGTCTGTGTAGCGGGCGCAAAGCAAAGCCGCAAGATTAATCGTAATGCCCGGAAGCCTACACCCGAAGAGCACTAAGCCTTAAACTGTTATCATGACCACAACATGACATGTTTGTTGCCGAGCCCTAAACCCTAAAAGTAGATGTTGGCTGGCTAACCCTAAGCCGTTAAAGGAGATGCTGGTTGATAGCTCCGAACCCAAAAGGGAGATGTTGCTTGACCAAACCTAAACCCAAACGAGACATGTTGACTGCCAAACACCCACCCGCTGTTGTTTGGCAAACCCGAAACCCTACAAGGAAACCCCAAACACGAAAAGGAGATGTGAGTTGGCAAACCCGAAGATGCTTCCCTGGAAGGGGATGGTGGTTGGCAAACCGTGCACCATACAATCAAAACAAAACCATACAAGGGGATTTTGGCTGGCAAACTCCGCACCCGAAAAGGAGATGTTGCTTGGCAAGTCCCCAACGCTAACAACACAAGATGTTAGTTGGCATTTGAGGCTGGAAAAGCGCTAACCCTAAACGGAAACGTTTTTTGGCAAAACCCTACGCCCCAAAACGAAACGTTGGCTATAAGCCCGAAAACAAGACATGCTGGTTTTCAAACCCTCCACCCGGAAACGACAAGCCCCTAACCCGAAAAACACATGTCGGTCGGTAAGTCTCAAACCTTGAAAACAAATTGCTGGTTCACAAACCCAACCCCTAGAACTCGATGTTCGTTGGCAAAGGCCCTACACCCTAAAAGGAAAGGCAACCCTAAGCCTTGAAAGGAGATGTTGGTGGACAAACCCAAATGCTACTAACAAGCAATATTGGCTGGCAAACTCTACACCCTCAATAGGAACACCCCAGCCCCGAAAGTTCAAAAGTTGGCAAACCTTGGCCGAAAAGAGAGCGAGAGACAGAGTGGGAGAGAGAGAGAAGGGTAGAGGGAGGCTGCCGCGCTCCGAGATTCACGTCACAGACATGTGACATGACTTGACAAAACATAGCTTTCAGATGTGGTAATTGTAGCTGCTAGCTTAATTGAACGGAATCAAGCTGCACCTTTCCGACTGTCATGCACCCCAATCCAGCCCTTCAATCTCCAAATCCTCAAGACGCCCGAGAGAACTCCTCGAGAAAGCCATTTTGCGTCGGGTCTGGATCTGCGATCAAGCTTAAAATGGTGCCGCTGTTCAGCAGCTCAGAGACCTCGTGGCTTCCAAGAGCTCCGTGCAAGCTGAAGCAACACTCTCGAAGCCAAAGACTCTCGCAAGCCTCGGCCACCATCCGCGCGCCCCAGAGCGACAGCACCTGCCAAGTCTGCTGTGGAAAGAGGCCTCACACGCCTTCTCCGAAGTGTTGTACTCTGGGACGGCACACAAATTGAGCTGTGCACCATGAGATGCGTAAGTCCAAGGGCGTGCTGCTGTAAGCACAGGTCCAGCGCATCTTTCTGCACCAGGTCGTCCTGCATCACGCACTGCGGCTACCGGTGTCCCAATCACCTCACTGATGCGCCCGACACCTTCGAGAGTGGAACAGGCGGATCGTGATCAAGCGCATGCCGTATCGCCTCGCGAGAGAACCCGCAACAGAGTTGGGAAAAAAGGAACTGGAAGCTACAGCACGGCAAACTCGTGTTGGTATAGAGCACAACTGAACACGAGAACGTCGAATCTGTTGGGGACGGCCTCAGAGGATTAAGGCCTAAGGTGACCAAGGACAACACAAGCAGCTCACAGCCGCGATGCCCTTCGGATCCCTGCGGCCCCGATGCTCTGCCTCCATCTTGTCAGCGATGCCACTGCTGAACGGAGCTGCCAACCCATCCACTGTGGTGAAGTACAGATGATATGTCCTTGGAGAGCTTTGCATCCGATGTCGCACTGACCAGCGCGGGTCTGCAGAAAGCTAGGTCGAGGAGCAAGCCAAACTGCAAAGTCAGTGAAGCTGCGTGAAGCCTGGGACAGCTCTCACAGGTTCAGCTCGAACGAACCCCAACTCTCCCGTGACACCAGCAGCGCCGAGCGGCCACAACACCAAGACCAGTTGCAGAACCTTGCACACTGCAGGGTTTGGCTCTCGGCCATCTTCTACAAACCGAGATTGTCTTCCACAGACAAGCAGATTTACAACATGCACAGCTTAATCTTCGGCCACGCCGCTTCATGCGTCGTGTCCTCCGTGCACAGCACATTTTGCTCTAGCTGAGCTGTCAAGGCTGGCAGTTGCACTGACTACAATCCCTGCACGTGCTTTCAGACCGTCCTCCGTGTAGAGGGTATCTGAAAAGATTTGATCTCGGGTGCGCACCTCGGTAGAAAAGCCCTCGACACGCGCCAGCTTCCAGCGTGGTGGCAGTTTGTTGGTCTGGTGTCGCAGTGTCCGGGTCTTCAAAGCAGCTTGCCGCTACCGACCCCTGGCAGCGCAACGAGACTTCGGCGTACAGGAAGGCTGCGCGACTTAGCATTGTGTTCGCTCGATGTTCTGTGGTTCATGCCTCTCACGGACATTCTGACACCGGCTAATGACGGCTAATGCAAGGAGGCGATGTCCGCACACTGAGACAGAGCGTGTTGCCATGCTCGCTGATGTTGTATGCCTGTCAGGCCTCGAACTGGCGCATGCTCCCTTCTAGTACTCGCCTTGTGCTTCTGCTCGAGACCGGTGTTGGGACCTCCTAACCCTACGTAGCACATCGAAGCCATCTCAGCTTGCAAGTCTGTAGCTGAGCGGCCAAAGCCAGGATGAGGCCATCGCCAGTGTTTTGCTGCATCTGAAAAGTGGACACTCGCTCCTGCACCTGCGCTCACAGGGCAGCAGGCGGCATGCGAACGAGCCGAAGAAACGAGTACTGCCGAGCGGCCAGACTCCAAAGCCTCCGCATGGACTTCTTCTTCACACCCGCACCCGATGTCGCCGAAGTGTCTGAAATTACGCCCCTGATCCTAGGAGCTGTGCTGAAGTCCGATTCCCCAGTCGCAGAAGCTTTCACCGCTTCAAGCTCCGACAATTCAGCTGTTTCATGCTTCGGCTGGTTCTGGATATCGGCATCCGACTCTGTCACCAAGAGCGGCCGGATGCTTGACATGGCGGAGCAACAGCAGTGCTCTGAGGCCTAAGTCCTAATTGATCTGAACTTCATGCCATGGTGCCGGAACTGCGATGCTGCAGATCGTGGCACTTTACATCTTTCATGGATCATAACCAGCCCCGGGATACACACGACGGCTGCCCTTGCATAAGTTGCAGCTTTGTCCATTACAAATTAATCCATCACTGGGACCCTTAGGACCCTGGGGAGGCCAAACATCCGAGGCAGTCATGTCAGCTTGGGGCCAGCGTGGCAGAAGTCAGAACTCGCGTTTGCTTGGGAGTTGGGTTCTCAACCTGCACCGGAAGTGCCCGGCAATTCGCAACCCCTTGTCGTTGCTTTTCGCTACGCGTCTCCGCGCACTTCTGACATCGTCAGCAAACTAGGCAGCTGCGTTGCACCAATGCACCAAAATTGATCCGGCAATTGAGAAACAATCGAAAGCAGCTGCAGGAAAAAGGGGAGACAAGTCCGCCGGTATGTCTCGTGCACATTAACTGGAATCGAAGGCAGCGACCTTTCCGTTCATGCAGCCTGCCGCGACCAACAGGTGCCTCAGATTTGAACTTCCGCGCGGACAGGTTTGTTACGCCTGCCGCATCTCAACACACATAGGGCCCCCGCCCCTTTCCGGTCTCTGTGCAGTGCAGCGAGGTGATGGGGGAGCCCAGCGTCCAAGACGCCACAGCCTGCTCGAGAAAAGGATGGTTTCCAAAGGACGTCGACCAACACCCGCCTTGGGCTTGTAGTCCTGCCCGTCAGCAAAACATCGGGTGTCGTACCTTCTTGCTTCTTCTTGCAAGTGCGTGTGGATCGCACTGTGGGCAGGGTCACTGCATTAGCTCGCCGCCAATGCCAGCAAAAAGCATGGGACTTGTCCAGTTCAACACCGTGACCTGCTTTGGCATACTCACTCTTTCCGCTGCAGGTAAACAGGAATTAAGTTTGTGCCTTTGGAGGGCCTCTGTTAGATGCGCACACGTCAAAGACGCCTACGTCTGCTGGTCACGGAAGCCAACGCACGTGCACACAGGCACAGAAACACCGAGACACCCAAAGCAGCCATCACTGATATGTGGCAACTGACCAGTATGTACTCAGCAAGACTCGGACTAGCACAACAAACTTTGAACTTCTGATAAGGAACCTGCATGGAATGACACAGCGTCAAAATTTGGGCTAACCATTCTTGCTGATGTCAGCTCGCTTTGGCAGGAGCAGCAAGAGCGAAGCGGATTGAAGACGTGCAAGCATGGACTCGAAGACTGAAGACTTGGCAAGGATCCTGGAAACAAAGCCGTCACATCTTCATCTCAATACCAACCTTGCCCACCGACTCTTTGGTGTACTGCTGCCGGATGACTTTGCCTTCGGCCGGTGAGAGCAAACAAATGTGGGACTCCAGCGTACTCGTGGGGAGATTGCCCATCGTCTTAGCGACCGGCCGGCTCGAATGTCGATGTAACCAATGCCGCTTGAGTGTGAACACACCTACCACCAGAGTTCCGCACCGCCCAACATCGTCCAACAGGGTCCGTCTTTTTGCAAGCAGCATGGGCTCACCATGACGCCGGATTCCGGCCACATCGCCAAGCCCGAGAGCCAACCAGCCGCTTGGCCTTGTCTGCGTCCGTCTCAAGGGGATTTTCTGCAAAGAGCAGAACAAAACTCCGAACAGTCCCCTGCTGTTGAAGTCGGAGACGACGCCCTTGCCGCTGGCATTCACCTCCGACTTCGGCAGCTGCAAGAAGTGCACAGCATTTCTGCTGCTGTGACGGAACTGCCATGGCTGAGAACGCAACATCCCAGCAGCGAAGATTTCCGCCATTGTCGCCAGTCCAGATTTTGTTGACTGTTTCGTGCTGCATTGCCTGTCTGCAGGGGGACTGCAGACATGCCGGAGAGTTTTAGGCGCCTTCAGCAGAAACTACATGCTGAGACCCTTGCGTTCACATCTCCGACACCTTGATGCGGATCGGGTTGCTGCCAAACGGCAGGTACTTGGAGGCTCACACCATCCATGCCGATCTTGGATACCGCCAAGACATCCTGCAAAGATGTATCTAGCTCAGGTAGCTTCGCTCCTGCACATGCTAGCCGCAGCTTCAACAAGGCTCCTTTGACACTGTCGCTGCGACGTGCGGTGTTGCCTCGCGGTTCTCTGGCTTTGGCCACAAGCTGATGCATCGAACACCTAAGCCACGCCAGCAGGACTGCGGAGTAGTCATGGCAGTGTGCGTGCATCAATTCTGGTCTCTTGCTATACCTGGGGCAGAGTCCACGATAGTGGAGGTAAACCATGGTGGACCTCGCATGACCAACATCACATGTATCATGATGAGGTGCAGTATGGTGCAGTGCTGTACCACTTGGCAAGAGGTCAGCGCGTGCACAGGGTACAGGCTGCTTGTTGTTTTTTACCTGTATTTAGTTTAAATTTTAATATGTTCAGATGAACGCTAAGCAAGCGAGAAACCAGTGCCAGGCCACATGTGAGACGCCTGACATCCGTGCTTGACCTTCTGGTCCAATGGGCCCGAGTCACTTCCACTCCCTGCTGCTGCGACCGTTGCCGTTTTTTCTAGTTTTGGTTTTGCCGCTTCTTGGAGCTTTGCGCGTGTGATTCCTCTTTCCCATCCTTGGGGGTGCTCGAACTGCCATGCACGTTTTGCATTCCGAGGCTGCCACTTCTCCAGGTATCCGCCATCCTCGTCCTTTACGAAATCCAGCTCCTCATCGTCTTTCCTGTGCAAAATAAGAACATGCCATCTTGATGGACGGAGGCGCGAGTCAAGCAACTTGTGAGGCTGACTTTGCGACGATTGCTGTGGACCCATTGCCATCACGCCCAGCATCACCTGCTTCGCATCGGCTATCCGAATCTGTGCACCAACCCTCTCAACGAGACAATGCTCCAAACATCTCCAAACCAAGGAGTCATGGCTCTTGCTGGCTCTGGCATATTCTGGGAATATATACACACTCCAAGAGCGCAAACAAATCAGATAGGTGAAGGTGCACATCATCTTGAGGCTCCCGCTTGACATAATAGCCTCAAAGAATCTGTCGCAAAAAGTTGAAGCTCGCTTCATGACGAAGTTTTGCCGCGCATGCCTTTGACTTCGCATCAGGATCGTCGGCCTGAGATGGGAGGGAGCTTGCCAAAAGCCGCGAACACAGCACAAACGGCAGGGAATGGCATGGCTGAACTCCGCACGATGGCATTGGTCTTGGCCCTGGCCTCGCTTGGGTCGACGTTTCAGAGAATTCAGCTCAAGTCATGAAGGCTGTCGAAGTTTGAGCCCTTGACGACTGGCCTGACAGGGCTTGATATCCAGAAAAGATGCAGTGAGTTCCTGGTCGCTTGGCCTGAACGGCGTCGTCTTGAGGTTCCAGGTCCTTCGGAACTCGAGCTGCCACATAGGGTCTCTGAGTGCAAACAGCTCAGCTCCTTAGCGATTCACCGGGCAGCGGCTTCATCCCGGCTGACTGCGCCTGGCACACGATTCGACATGCAAGTCTGCTAGATTCTGCTAGTGCCCCGAACGCCACTCGGTGTTTTCGGTCAAGAGCCAATGGCCAACGGTGGCGACGTTGCTGTCAGCAAACCAAACGGGGAGATCGCTGCGACGTCGTTGATGAAGCCACCCACGGCCTTGAGAGCGGTGCCGTAGTGTAGCTTTGTCGATTTCGAAGTTGGGTCCTTCCCAAGGCCGCTGCTATCTCACCCACAAGGCGTGGAGGTGGCTTGGTCCTCGCCATGCGATGCCCACCACTATCGACTGAGCAGACAGGATCAGAAAGGTATGAGTGTCTGAGTTCCCGGACTTGCCGGGCTCTCCTTTTGAAAGTTCCCAGCAGCGCACCTTTTGCACACTCGAAGCTCGAACATCTCCAAGCAGAGGAGTCCAAGGGCTGTGCTACACCTTCCTGCCAAGACCTCGATCCGCACCAAAGCTCGAAAAGATTCTTCGCCCTTTCTGAGCGAGGCGAGCCACAATCGGAACTCAACGGGAACCTGGCCCTGTGTACAGTCTTCGGCTTTCCCACGGTGGCGTCCTAGGACCCAGCAAGTATTCGACCGGTGCTGTGAGCGCCAGCACCGAAAGGTGAGTGAAGCTTTGGGCCCTCACCCAAACGTGTCGAAGAGCATGCAGGTGATTCCCTCACAGACCAGAGCACTCGGAAAGCATGACAAAGCAAGCTCCTGCGAGTTGGCTGTTCGCCTTGGTCGCTGTTGGAGCCTTGGATGTCATCATGTTCAGAACCGGCATTTGTCGCGCTCGTGCCTGTGGATCCAAGGCAAGGAGCATGTCCCTGCCAAGGCCCTACAGCCTGTCCTGAGGAAGAGCTGACAGTTCTGACTTCTGCCGAGTCTGAAAGTCTACCATGGTCCTTCCAAATCCCTCCAGCCGCCTTCTTCGGTCTTGGCCTCTCAAGCCCAACGCGCGACGAGACTGGTCGTGAAAGTGACGAAACATGGTGCACATGCATGCGCATGGCTGCTGCCTCCGTCAAGGCCTTGTACGCAGTTGCGATGGCTTTGAAAACAGCGTCGTCACCCCCTGTGCAGACGACTTTTCGGCGCAGTTTGAACATAAATACACCACTAAGCCTTTGTCTGGGTGGTGCAGTAGAGCCAGGACGTGGTAGGCTCGCCTTCTCATCGTCTTCCAATTCCCCCAAAACGGCCTAAGGAATCACTCCTGGCCTGATGGCAGCGCTACTGGCACCAGGCTGCAAGCCCAAAACCTCACAGCTTCCCCGATTCCACTGTGCACAGACGCACTCCTCTGAGGCGGCGACGGTGTAGGGCTTTCCCAGCGCTGCCAAAATCTTCTGCGATGAGATGCGTCCTACATTCTGCGGGGGCAAACACCAATCGGCAAGAGCCAGCCAATCGCAGCCAAAGCACGAACTTCGTCCTCACTCTTTGCTGCCTCCGCTCGCTGAGACGCCAACAAGCTTAAGACTTTCTTTGCGACTGGCCCTGGGCA